AGAACCCGTCCCCCCACCCGAAGGCGAAGGGAGGCTACCCTCTTGTCCACCGCGGTAAACCCCAATGTACAGGCGCCCAGCCAGGGGGCAATAAGTATGCCCACCCCCGCTCGGCGTCTCTCCCCGCAGGCAACTCCAGAGTGGAAAAGGGTCCAACCCCCTTCAAGGAGACTGGTTCCAGAGCCCAAGCCGTGCGTCGAGGTGAGCCCGACTATATCTAGCCGGAATTTCACAACCTCGCGCACCAGTTCAGGTTCCTTCCCCATCAGAGAGGTGACATTCCATGTCCCAAGAGTTAGCTTCTGCAGCCGAGGATCGAACCGCCAAGGTCCCCGCCTTTGGCCACTGCCCAATGTATTTCAATGTATTTATTAAAAATATTACACAAAAAAATAAATACAACATTCAAATAATTAGTATGAAAACTGCAAGGAAAATTACCTAACATAAATGCATTGTACATCCAGGCAAAGAACTGGTGATAAAAAGCAAGGCAGAGCAGATTAAAAAATGCAGGGTCGTCTGTAAGGGAAAAATAGGCTAAGTGAAATGTCCTCATTTCTAAATAGGAAACACAATTGTGTTTTTTTAAATAAAATAAAAATAAAAACTGGCTGGGTCAAGTCCCAAGAAAAATACTATTCCTGAATATTTGAAAAAAAAAAACCTAAACTACTTCAGTAAAACATCTTACTATATATGGGAAAATTGGATAAAGACATTGGCTAGTCTTGTAAAATAACTATTATATAAGGAATCTGTCATGTAAAGCCGGGGCACAGACCAAGGAAGCAGGGACAGGACTCAAGGAATCGGGAACACAGGGTATAATCAAAGGGAAAGGAAAGCAGGACAACTGAACAGGCAAAACAACCACTATGACGGTAACGACTGGACAGAGGAAACCAACTTAGACGCATACTTAAATATTCAACACAAATGACAGCAACTCGAAACAGATGATCACACGGGGACTCTACACGAGGTTAATGAGGGGGCGTGGCAAACAGGAGGATCGGAAGAGCGGGGAATGACAGAATCATAATTGTTTCATAGGTTTTACGAAGTTTAGTTTCGGCTAACATGCAAAGATTTTTATGGGAGGATTAAAAATGGGCAATGGAATTACCCACAGTATTCACAGGAATATGATTTTACCTAAATAAAAACCAATAAAAGATAAGCTTTTAAATAATTCATCTTATGTAACTTGCAAAGGTTTACATGTTTGTGTTTAATTCACTACAACATAGAAAACCTCAAGAGCCAAAAGAAATATTAAAAAAAACACAATTACATTCAAAGATACTTACATAGGAACAAAGCCCAGAACTGCAGAATGTTGCCAAGTTTTACTTTGCCTGTCCTTAAAAATATTATCAGAAATACAGTGGACACAACTGATATGAGGAAAGAATAGTGTTAATCGTTCAGAAATTCACATCAAACACACAGAATAAAGCAGATGTTGAATGTCACTGAATTTAAAACCATGCACTTCACCCATTTGTTATCTTGCTTTTCATCTCATGTTAGACATTGTGGCATATTGAAATGCAAAAGTGTAAAAGCTGGCTAGGAACAGGTTCTTTTAATTATTGAATTATAAAACTAACCTTAATAGCTAGATGTAGTGTGATACTTTGTAAATCCCACTAGTCAGCAAATAATCATATTAGACAGACAGACAGACAGATAGACAGACAGACAGACAGATAGATAGATAGATAGATAGATAGATAGATAGATAGATAGATAGATAGATTTACAAACTACAGTAGTATATATACATACATGGGAATAATGCCATAATCATAGGAATTGTAAATTCACTTATGTAGTTCCTTTGTTGTACTTTCCCAGCTGTGTCTGATGAATATGTTTGCAAAAACACACTAAAAACAACTGAAATTCAAAAATTACATTAGTCTCAGTGTCAAACACCCAGAACAAAAAAACATACTCATTGGTCCTGTCACCTGGGGGGTAAGCAGGTAAGCAGCTAGACATGTGGGCAGTCGGAACAGGCAGGCGAGTAGTCAGCTAAGGTTAAAACCTTTTCAGTCGCACAGGGTGTCTGGTTGCTAACTAGTTAGCCTATGTTTCACAAGAAAAGTACATCTACTGTAAATAACTGTAATAACTGTCACGGAATGCAACCAGAGGTATTCTGATTTTTTTTTCACTTGCTCTTTTGTGAGTCCTAATCAAATGGCACCCTGATTGTCTAATCCTCCTATATGGCGGGTCAGCCCTGCTTGGAGGGCAGCACTGCACCAACAAATGAGGCTGCATGCAGAGCCTGACAGCCCTAACAGAGCAGTTTAAGTCAATGACACAAACCTGCATAAGCTCTACACAGACTATAAGCAGAGACAGGTTATCAGAAGATACCATGATGTTTGAAAGGAACACTATGTCGTACACCCTGCCATGTAATCACACTTGCACAAACTTGTAAATATACTTACTCATAGCTACTGCGATGAAGACCAGAAACAGAAAAGATGTTGTTTTTGCAACGCGATCAATTATTTTTGTTCTCTGATCACTCACCAAGGAATATTCATTCCAACGCACAATGAAACCAACTGAAATAAGACATGAATTGTGTTAGGTACAGTATCATGAAATACACGCTACACACATAACACGAAAAAAGTGTACAGTCACCCCTTCACATTCACAAGGGTTAGGGGCAGAATATTCGTGCCGATGTGCAAATTCATGAATAAGACTTGGACCCATGATTAAACATGCAAAATTAACAGCATTGAAAAGTTTGAACGTTACTGTGCGAAGTGAGAGATTCCACTGTCACAAAGACAGCTAACCCAAGAGTGAGGCTCGTTGATTTTTGCTACTGTTTAGGCCTGTATATTTTTGGCTTAGGTCTACGTGTCATCTGCGTGTTTCTGCATTTTTTCAGTAAGCTCCAAAAATATTCTCATTGAATTGATCACAGTAAACACACGAATAACCATAATTGTGAATGTCAAATCTGCAAATCTGGAAGGGTGACTGTACTCGCTCATGCTGTATTTAAAAAAATCTATGTTTAAATCCCATAATGGACATTGCACTGGAGCTGATGAGAGTACCACAGATTAAACTGCCTTATGAAATATTAACAAAATGTTTTAGCCATTCATTACATTATGTATTCTTTCTTGGAAATAATTATTTTAAAAGGAAGTTACAGAAATATGCATGTCATACAGATTGTGAAGGTTCCCATATTTACATCATTAACTCAAAAAAGAAACACCACTATATCTCATTCTGGCCCAGTATTCCTGATATCCCAAAAAACTTAAGATCAGTACATTTATGAACTAAACGACATACTTACCTATGTCCACCAAGATCAAAAATATAACTACAGGTATGAGGCCTCCCAGTACTATATTCCTGGCTGTGTTTGTAAAATATTTTGTTGCTAATTCAGTGACAGCAACTAAAATAAGGTAAAAGTAGAATTACCCACCACAGAATTCATGTCAGATACAGAGAACAAAAACTACTCAGTGATCCTGTGTTTAAAAATCTGTACAGTACAGTACTTCACATCCACCATATTTTACGAAGGTTAAAATGGCTAATGAAAGCGGAGGGGGGCTGCATGTTTAGGAGGAACATTGCCACAGGTCTTAAGGCTGGCCCGGAGTGACCAATTGGGAGTCTCTGCACAATTCCCAGTGGCTGGATTAGCTGCTGTGCCAGTCAGAAACAAAATAATTTGACTGATTTTGAAATTCTACAACAACACTTCAAAATGTTAACCAGCAAGATTAATTGCACACACAACAATTAATCACTTGTGCAACAATTAATCACTTGTTATTAGTAAGCACTGGAAGTTTCTCAGATGAAAGATTTTATAAAAAGATCAGGTGGGGCTGAAGTCAGACTCCTTAAACAGTTCAATATGCCATTTATTTATTTTCTTCTTGAAATCCATCCATTATCCAACCCACTTATCCTACTGGATCGCAGGGAGTCTAGAGCCTATCCTGGAAGCAATGGGCACAAAGCAGTAAACAACCCTGGACAGCGGGCCAGCCCATCGCAGGGCACCCTCACACGTGCACACCTAAGGGCAATTTAGCCAATAACTCCAATTAGCCTCAGCATGTTTTTGGACTGTCGGGGGAAAGCAGAGTACCCGGACGAAACCCCACGGCGACACGGGAAGAACATGCAAACTCCACACACGTAACCCAGGCAGAGACTTGAACCTAGGTCCCAGAGGTGTGAGGCAACAGTGCTAACCACTACACCACCATGTCTTCTAGAAATACCAGAAATAAATTTATTGGGATAATAATTTGAATTTTGCCATTATTTATCAAAGCTCCCTTAGAATAAACACAAAATGGGATGATCTTGAACATAAAGCTTACAGGCTGAAAATTTGTCCCACTCCGTGCCTGTCTTAAGGTCACAAGTCTGGCATAAAAATGAGCATGACATGCTAAAATACTTAAGTATGTTTGGCATCTTCAAAGATGCACCACAGTGTGTTTAATATTTTACCAGTAACTGATATTTTTATTTGCTTTACCTCATCATGTACATTTAAACTTACCTGTACCTATAGTCATGAAAATGATGTTATTTCCTAGTCTCAGAGATTCACTTTTAACTGTGCACCAGGTAGCTGTGGAATTAATACAAAAGTTACATTTCAAACAGAACAAGACCCTGAGCACATTGTCTACAGTGTCCGCTGTCTTGTGCCCTGTGCTGCCAAGGACAGGCATCCTAGTGCCCACTTACAGGATAAGCTGGATTATTGGTTGCAATATTATGATATGGTTGCATTAATTATGCAACCATACCATAATAAAGAATATGTCAGGTTAAACTTTTATTGGAAAGGGGATGATTTTGGATACACTTAACTGTAGAACTGTATGAATGCCATCACAGACTAGAGCTACTCGGATTCAACATAAATCTGCAGTTGTGTATTACAGTGAATTTGAAAAACACTATTGTTGTAGTAGTATGCCGAAGAAATAATATAATAACAAAGCAAAGAACATTATGAAAATTAAACAAGAATGCACCATTAAAATCCAAATACCAGCATTTGTTGCAGAAACCCATGGAGACCCCTCATTAAAAAATCATGCTATTACTTATGCATTAATTAACCAGAAACATCAATAATGCAATCATTAATTAATGAATCATGATGCATCTTTTACCTCAGGCAGTAACTATATTTGTCACTGTATCTGTTAATTCTGTCAACTTTAGTGACCTACAGAAGGATCTACTGAAGGAACAAGATAATCAATAACAGAAGTGAACTACTGATCTTGTGTTTGTTTTTTAATTGTAACGCATCTTTTATCTCAAGTAGCCACTACATTTTGTTTATGATTTGTACTTCAGTAGTATTTCAGTTACTACTAAGTATTTTCAATATAGATAAATATTCTTTAAAAATCAGTTAAGTACAGACTGTCCCTGACGTACAACTTCACTTTTCTGCATGTGCTTTCAGGCTGGGGACGGTCGTGCATCTTGGGTTCATACTACATTTGACTGTGGATGCAAATGTTTGTGGTCTGTGCATGCATACAGCAGCGATATTCCACCAGACCATGGGAGATGTATTGCAACAAACACAAATGCAAGCAGTGTAGTGAGAGGGGTAAACTTTGGACAGTTTTAAAGATATTAGCACTAGAGCCACCGGCATTTTTTTGACTTCCTCTATTCATCGGCGATGTACTTCGGTGTATTACACCTTTTATTTTTCTTAATGGGCCATTGCATTAGTATAACATTCATCCATCAAGAAAACAATGGAACAGTCACATCAGCAAAGTTGCTGTCACCCCAAAAAAGCTATAAAGCCTATATTACAGTCGTGCTTGTGTTGTAAGTGTTTGCAATAAATTTGTCTTGTTGTTAACACACTGTCGGGACGAGCCTGGAACGATCACAGCAACCAAACTCCCTTGCTCAATCTGGGATGTCTTTTTCTCTAATTCGAAATTCAAATTTTATTTGGTACACACCAATCATACACAGCATAACTTGCAGAGAAATGTTATTTCTCGACGCTCAGTGACATAAAAACAACAGTAGTATGTGTAAATTGATAAGCAATAATAAAGCAGTGCAACAGCAGACAGAGGTAGTCCTGTAAGTAATAAATATGATTGTAATGGGGGGTTGGGGGTGATTAAACCAAGTCAGTCTTAGGTCTGGCCCTGGCTGAAGGTCCGAATGGCAGCGAGAAGAAACTGTTCCTCATTCTCTTTTTATGGGCCTTCAGGGAATGGAAGCGCTTCCCTGATCACAAGAGAGAAAAGAGTCCATTGTTTGGGAGGCAGGGGTCCTTCACTATATTCCTGGCCTTGTTCCAGCACCACTTGTTGTAGATGGACTGCAGGTCAGGGAGTTTGGTGCAAATAGTGCACTCCACTGATCGCACTACCCTTGGCAGAGCCCGTCCTGCATGGTGCAGTTCTCGAACCAAGTTGTGATGCTTCCTATTAGGATGCTCTCAGTGGTTTGGAAGTACAAATTTCTTAACAGCTTTGTAGGTAGTTTGAAGTCCCTGAGGTGTCTGAGGTGGTGTAAATGCTGGCAGGCCTTCTTCTCCAGGGTCTTGGTATGACAGGACCAGGACAGGTCCACTCTCTCCAGTGGGGCTCTCTTGACTTTGTGCTGAAGTCCACAATTAACTCCATTGTCTTGCTGATGTCCAGGAAGGGGTTCTTGACCTGGTATCAGTTTTCCAGGACTCCTCCAGGTAGGCCTTTTCATTATTATCAGAGATAGCCACTTCAGGTGCTGGTGAAGTTAGCCACCATCATGAATGTTGCAAACCCACTATTTTTTGTTGTTTTTTTCATGCTTTTCTTTACTTTAACCTTTTTCTCTTTTCACAATGGCTACAATCAAATGCTATAAAAACACACTTATCCTTATTGGTTCACAACTCACCCACCATTCGCCAGATCCATGCTGTCCAAACAAGATCCTCAAAAAGAACAATGGACACATCCCAAAGCAGCGACTGAAAGGGAAATGAGCTGGCATCCAAAACAGACTGATGTCTCACGCACATTGCACTTCCTTGCCCAGCAACCTGCTAGCCAATGTACAATCTCTTGAGAACATGCTTGATGATTTCAGGATCAAGTTCCAGAGGGACATACAAGACTGCAACCTCTTCTGCTTCACCTGTAGTAGCTGAACCCAGCAGTACTGGACCATGCCACCCAGTCAGCTCAGCGCTTCTCTATTTACCACATGAACAGAACATAGAAGTTGGGGAAATCAGGAGGAGGTGATGTGTGTCCCATGGTAAACAGCGGCTGGTGCAACAGCGTGAGCATTGTCCCTCTCATGCTACTGTATCCTGCTCCTCCAACCTGGAGCTTCTGATCATTAAATATCCCCCCTTCTACCTTCCTCGGGAATTTACCTTGCTTAGAGTCAATGCCATATATTGTCCACCTCAAGAAGACAGACACTGCTTTATGTGAACTACATGAGGCTCTCACACAACACCAAATTCACCATCAGGACATTGCTCTCATTGTGGTGGGGGACTTTAACAGTGCCAACCTCAAACAGGCAGTGCCAAAGTTTCACTGACACATCAGTTGTCCCACTAGAGGCAAAAAGATCTTGGACCACTTCTACACCCCATTTAGAGATGCAAACAAGACACAATATTATTTGCCGTTTGGCCAATCGAACCATGCTGCCATCTCCCACATGCCAATATATCAAGGCTGAAACAGGAAGCCCTGGTTCAGCGGATGATCACATGCTGGACGGACCAATCATTGGTCACTCTTCAGGACACTCTAGATCAGGGGTGGGCAATCTTATCCTGAAAGGGCCATTATGTATGTGGGTTTTTACTGCAACTCCCTAATTAGATTACTACTTAGAGGACTTTTTAGCCTGCATACACACCGGCCCTTCGCGGATAAGACTGTCCACCCCTGCTCTAGATGATGCAGACTGGGACATGTTCCAGTGCACCTCTAATGTGTAAATGTGTTTATGGAAGTTGTTGTGGGATTCATTGGGAAACTAGTAGACAACTCAGCCCAGAAAACAACTATAAAAACGTTTCCCAACCAGAAACCGTGGATGGATGAGACCATCCGTGACACTATGAAATCCCGCACAGTAGCCTACAATGCAGGGCATGCCACCGGGAACATGGAGGAATATAAAGCTGCATGCTACAGCATGCACAGAGTGGTGAAGGAGGCGAAGTGGCACTACGGGCAAAAACTAGAATTACAGCTCCAACAGAGTGGCTAGCACTATTGGTCCACTGGCAGTGGTGACGGCAACAGTAATGTCAGAGTGGAAAATGCTTTCACCATTTTGAATTGTGATATGAGGAGGGCTCCCCAGATAGTGAACACCAGATAAGCAGCAGGACCTACCGGCATCTCAGGTAGAATCCTCAGAGCCTGCGCCAACAGGCTAACGCCAGTGTTCACAGAGGTATTCAACCTGTCACTGGTACTGTGGGTGAGATAGCGGTGGGTAGATAATATAGGCTGAGGGACTGTAAGGGCTGTCCGTATTTTACCACCACACACAATCGGGAGTGTTGGCCAGAACACTACTTGAGGCCAAGATGATGGAGCGGAGTGCATGCAGGAAGTAAGACAGTGACGAGACCAGAGGATGATATATAACTGGGTTGTATTGGTTGTACAGGCGTGAGTGTGTGGTCCTACAGCAGAGGAAATGAATACAAATCCATTCAGTGATGCAAATAAACTGAAATTACACAATACACATATAAATCACGCTGCACACGAGCTAATCAGCTAACATGAGCCCCAATAAGTAATGCTACATGCCATGCACAACAGAAGTTACAACCCCACATTAACTAAATGATCCGTTATTTATGAACGAACATTTCTAGTACAAACCTAACATGACTTAAAGTGCTAGAAGATCAACTTACATTGCTCATTTACGCACACAGGCACGGACCAACACAAGTAGCTCATTAACCGTTCTCTGATGGTGAGATGGCAGGCGAAAAATATGCCACTCGCTCCCGTAGCGCCGAGTGGTCGCGCTGATGACGTCATCACCGCATGACAACCGTTTCACAATAAACACGCCTCAGTAGAATAAAGGGGGAACTATACTGTCATACAACATAACAGATTAACAGAAAGGTAAACGTCCATAGTCTTTTCTACAGGTACAGCGGTAATCCCCACTATTTTAAAAACTTTGTTGTCGTTCCTGTACCACAGAAACCCCAACCTGCCTGCCTCAATGTTGATTTTGGTCAGAGAATTCAAGGAAGTCTAGTAACCATGGCGATGCACTCACATGCAGCGGCCTAACGGTCTTCAAGTTTGGGCAGCTATTCAGTTTTTACAATGTTTTTCCTGTATGTTTTTAAACGTGTATTAGCAGTCACATATGTACAGTACAGCAGAACAGAGCTGCTAATGATTGTGTACAACATTGTGTACACAATTTGAATTACTATGCAATGATAATTACAGAGACCTGGCTAGACCAGAACACCCTGAATGCTACTATCAAGCTAGCGGGCTGCACCATCCTCGGGACAGTTAGGACTATCCACTCCAGTAAGAGCAGAGGAGGTGGACTTCGTATTTATATAAACAATAGTTGGTGTACAAACGCCACCAACAAGGTCACTCACTGCTCTCCAGATATTGAGTACTTGATGACACAGTACAGACCTTTCTACTTGCCCAGTGAGTTTACATCAGTCGTGATGGCAGCTGTTTATGCATCACCTCAAACTAATGCTATGCTAGCCATGGAGAAGCTACACCACTCTGTCAGCCAGCATTTGTTGGTACAACCAAACAGCATTGTTATAGCAGCAGGGGATTTTAATTACGCTGACTTGAAGTCTGTTTTACAAGTACGTAAACTTCCCGAAAACAGAAAAGAAGATCAAGTCTACTGCAACATTCCACATGCCTGCAAAATCAGCCCTCTGCCACATCTGGGACTCTCAGATCATCTATCTCTGTCCCTGATCCCAGCATACAAACCACTCAGCTGTAGACAAAGACCATTCATGAGGACAGTCAAAGTATGGACCAAAGAAGCCACTGCAGGACTGCTTCGAGGACACAGACTACAGAATTTTTTCTGAGGGGTCAGACCTGGAGGGATACACACCAGCTGTCCTTTCATATATAAAATTCTATGCTGAGATTGTGTCAGAAATAAAAATTGTTAAAGTGTTCCCCAACCAGAAACCATAGTTTAACAGCAAGATGAGGACATTGCTCAGAACACAGGTCTCTGTGTTTAAATGTGGGGATTTGCAGGCCTACAAAGAGTCATGGAGATGCCTTAGGAGGGAAAGGGACCAAGCACAGGTACAAGCAGTGCACAGAGGGACACTTCATCAGTAACAACTCCAGATGCATGTGGCAGGGGGTAAAGATTCTTTCTGGCTACAAGGACAGATGCACAGCCACAAACCCTTCAGACAGCATACTGCCAGACACTCTAAACGACTGTCTTAATTCAGCCACAGTCTTACCTCTTGTTTCTGCCCTCTTGTTAACCAGCCACAGCTGCCTTGTGTTTACCCCCCTGTTAGTTGGGAATATTGTCATCTCTTAGTCCTATGCTTCTTGTTCTTTCATTGTTTCACTGTCCCTGGTTCTGTTCGTGCCTGCACTGCTTAATAAATGCCTCTATTACAAGGTCTCTCAGCACCAGCCTGCATTATGGGTTGTGCTTCGGCCTTCCATCGTGACAGAATGACAGAACCTACCAAGTGACCTCGCAGCTGTGTTTTGGACCCGCCAAACCCAGTCTGGATGTGCTTGCTCACCCTTTTTCCCAGTGATGATCTTGTCCTCGACCCCACGTGTGACAACAACCAAATAGAATCCGGGGGGTCGTTCATTTGATGAGGAGACCAGCAGATACTGTATCTGAAGAGGATTGGCTCTGGAAGCAGATAGACTGGCTTCAATGAGGATGTCTCCAACCTTTCGTTTGCTGATTCTGTGCTCCTGGAAACAGCTCTGTCCGCCATGCAGCGCGATGCTGCCGACTTGCTGCGTCGACATCAAATCAAACAGACTGTACCTCGCCCGTCTCGGCAACCAAGTTCTTTACTTTCTAAGAGCTGTACTGGAGGCTGGTTGACAACCCCCTCATCCAGACCTGTCTGGAGACAATAGATCTACTGGGATGGATCAACCGGGGATTGTTGGCCATTTCCCCACTCTCGTCCTCCCTGGAGCTGTAACGAATTGCCTACAGCATGAAGGAGGTGCTTTGCCTCCGGAAAAAGGCGAGTGGGCAATCCAGTCCTTCTCCAGAGATTCCCGCTGAGCTCCACTGTTTTCCTGAGGTGTCTGAGCCCCATCAGTCTCCTGAGGTACCTGCCAAGCTTCACCCATCTTCCTAAATGTCTGAGCGCCACCCGTCACCTCAGATCATCCTTCTGGTTCACTGTAGCCAGCCAACTATTCACCCGCTGACTCCCCAAAGTCTTCAGTCAGCTCCTGTATTAGAAAGCGGAGACAAAGAGGGAGGGTGGAGCCAACATCCTGCCCAGGAGACGCCGCCACTGCACCCTGCCCAGGAGACACTGCTGCCTGGTACTGCCCAGAAGGAGCTGCCACCGCGCCTAGCCCAGGAGATGCCACCGCTGCACCAAGTCCAGGTGACGCTGCCACCGCCACTCCTTCCTCACCCCTGGCTCCCGATCTGGGAGCTTATTGCCATCTCGCTAACACCAGGCCAGGATGAGCTCCCCGCTGCTATGCTAGTGCCTGGTCCAGATAAGTGCTCCATGGCTTCGCTAATATTCAGCTTGGATGAGCTCTCTGTCACTTCCCTGACACTCAGCCCTGAGGAAGCCGCTTTGCCTGTTCCATCTGCATGTAGCCCTGGAAAGACCGACCCACTCCTGTGCTCGGTCTGTGGTTGCCCAACCCACGGCCTGCATCAGTCACTCCAACTGCTCCTGTCTGCTAGCTGGTGGCCACCTCCGTGCCGGCTCCTGAATGCGCACCCAAGGTCATTGCCACCCAGATTGCTCCTGCCAGCTTCACAGGCTACTAGCCCTGATAAGGCCACAGACTTCCCACGAGTGCTCTGCTCTGCTTGTCCTCAGAAGCACTCGTCGAGCTCAGCCTGCCTCCAGATGCGTCCATTGAACTCCGCCAGCCTCCAGAAGTGCCTATCAAGCTCTGCTCGCTGCCGTCATCCCAGCTTTGCTCTTTGCTTTATTCACCCGCAGAGGTCACTGCTATGTGTTGTTCGCCTGCGGCCATCGCTTCCATATTAGCTCTTGCCTGCCCGTTGACCTGCTCACCTGCCTGGTTGCCGGCCTGCTCACCTGCCCGCTTTCCCGAGGCCGCTGCCTTATTGATTTGTGCTTCGTCTCCATCCCTCACCTACACCCTCCACACCGCCGGGCCCCTTGCTGACACCCACCTCGTGCCTCGGGCTCTCTGGCCACCATCAGTCCTTTACCAAATCCCCTAGGCGCTCCTGGACTTGTGACCGACCATTAAACCACCTGCCTTAAAACGGTTCCCTGGACAAGATTGTGGTAGAGGATCTGGAATGGGACCCTATGGGTCTGACCCTAAGCCCCATACCATGGGTCCTGACTGCTGTCCCGGACTCAGGTGCTCCCCACTTTAAGTCACGAGGGACGCCACAGTACCGACAAGCATTCAGGAGAAGGACTGGACAGTTCTCAGTTCTTGTCTGATTAGGTCCTTTGGCAGTCACAGCCCCCTGCCATGACACCCCGGTGGCGTCCTCTGCCTTGGTGGCTCCTGTGGTGCACTCCTGTCCCAGTCCTGTGGACTTCTCCATGGCTAGCTCTGACCCTGGTTCCTTCCTTGTCTCTCAATTCTGGCCCTGCAGTCTCCCTGGCATCCTACTGTTCCCGTCCTGGTCCTTGCCCAGCCTCCTGTCTAGGTTCCTGCCTTGATCCTAGACTCACAAATCCCAGAATGTTACCAAGTCCCATTGACCCACCGAAGCCCAGCAAGATCTACACTGTGGGACTGACACCCAACACCCTGGGGTTCTCCAGGCCCCTCAGTCTGACTTCTCCCCCTCTCCTGCCTAATTGTGGTCTACACCCTGTCTTGTCATACTGTCCTGGCCCATTTTCCTGGTGGTCCACACTTGTGCATGTTCTTCCATGTGTTTGCCTTATCTCTGTCCAGTATGTTCAGCCTGTCCTCCCTACAGTTCCTCGCCCTTCTTTTGTCTGTCCCTGGGTACAAGTAACATCCTGTCTTGTCTCATGGTCTCACCTGTTAGATGTCCCCTATTAGGTCTTCTGTTATCCCTTTGGTATAGTCTGCTTAGTCCTGTTCCTGGTTCTGTTTTGTCTCCCCAGGTACTCAGTCCTGTGAGTCTCTGCATCTGGTGTCTGACCCTGTCCAGCATCCCTGGTCTTGCCCAGTATCCAGGCCCCATGTGCTCGTCTTCTCATCCGATCCCTTGAGTCCCCTCCCTGGCTGTCTTGGTATGTCCAGGGTGGGATGTCCAGCTGGACCCTGCCTGTCTGCTCCCAGTGATTGCCTTTGGGCGTGGCTGCTAATCAGCCGCGCCTGAAGCTCGTTAGTCTTATCTCTTCTTCCTGCCCTCTTGTTAACTAGCCAAACCTGCCTTGAGTTTACTCCCCTGTTAGTCAGGTATATTAGTGTCTCTTAGTCCTGTGCTTCTTGTTCTGTCATTGTCTCACTGTCCGCGGTTCTGCTCATCCCTCCACTACTTAATAAACGGCCCTATTATGGGGTTTCTCAGCAACAGTCTGCATTCAGGGTCATGCTTCGCTCTGCCGTCAAGACAGTGATGGTCCATGTTGACACGAGACCAATGTCTTGGTGAATCTTTTCCACAAAGGATTAAGGCAGTTCTGAAGGCGAAAGTGGGTCCAACCACATACTAGCAAGGAGTACATAATATAGTGGCTACTGAGTGTATGTTGTTTATATCACCCAGTTATATTGTGAAACCAATAACTCCAATTGTACAGAAGTAATCCAATTGTGATCAAATTAGATTATACATTATTTCAAGTAATACAAAGATTACATTACTGATTATATTTTAGCTTTGTAATTTGGAATCTGTACCGGATTACTTTTCAAACACTGAAAGTACAGTACTATATAGCAACATGACTATCCTAGCCTCACACACATTTCCCAGTCTCATTCTCACACCTAATACCAGTATGATTATTCTATTCCGACAGACGTCCATATCAACAAACGCCGTCTATTGTAACAGAACCCACCTGTAAATCAGAGACAGTCTGTGTACTTCATTTATCTTGTATTTCATATCATTTTATTTTAACATGGTATGTGAGGAAAGGCAACAACTGGAAATATGTAAACATACCTGAAAATAACTCATTATATGGTGCCACATTAAACAACACCAGGTTCCATGTAAGACTGATGACAACACAAGTGACAGCTTCTTCTATGGATCCTATGAAATTGAGTTATACAAGTTAACAGTGAGGAAATCTTTTCCTGCTGTAGTGTTTACAGATCCAGCCCTAGATTTGCATTCCAATTACATAAGCTTTCCTGTATGAATTGCTTCACTTTTCACAACATCCTTCTCCTTCAATTTATTATATTTAATTATACTTACCTTCAGCAACACCCCACAGAGTGAATGATAAGGACATCATTACAGATGGAACTATGACACTGGAACAGTGACACAACAGTGCCTGCCTGCTTTCACCTACAGTATATACAGAAAGTAAAATCCAATCGAGCCACATCCTCTTTAACATTTGATGACAGTTCAAAGTTGACTGATCTACAACCAATCCCATATCATCTTTCTGCTGCAAGCTCACCTACAGACTCCCAGTGCAAAATGTCAAACTATCAGTTTCACTAGAGGGTATAGTTTCAGTGAGGACATTGGTTTTAGATGAAAGTTAATTGGGCTTCCTTTAAAACGTTCCGCAATATATATTGACAGATACAGACTTGGACAAATTTGTTGGTACCCTTACAACTCATTGAAACAACGCTTCATTTCTCCTAAAAAGTGATTCAGTTAAAAGCAATTGTCTAACGGATACCTGCATGCCTTTAGAATATGAGTAGGTAAACCAATAAAGTTGTGAAATGAAATAATTTGTTGTTTATTTTAGAAAGATATGCTGAAATAGTATGGAGAGTTTGTTGGTGCCCCTAACGAGACTATCCTTGCATTTTAGTCATGTTTCAAACTAAGTGTTTGACCTTAATTAGTATCACAGGTGCCTTCAAGCTTTCATCAGCCATCCAGCCTATTTAAAGGGAAAGAACATGCTATTGTGTTGTTTGGTATCATTGTGTGCACTACACTGAACATGGATGAGAGAAAACAAAGGAGAATGCTGTCTGAGAAGATTATAGATAACCATGGTAAAGGCTATAAGACCATCTCTAAGTAGCTTCATGTTCCTGTCACCACATTTACCAATATTATTTTTTTTTAAAGTACAAGGTTCATGGGACTGTAGCCAGTCTCCCATGACGTGGACACGACAGGAAATGCAACCCCAGACTGATCAGAAGGATAGTGTGGATGGTAGGAAAAAAGTCAAGGAAACCATCCAAAACCATTAAAGCTGAGCTCCATGGTCAAGGTACATCACATTTTGAACAATGTGCTCCATGGAAGACCCAGGAGGGCTCCACTATTGACAGAAAAACATAAAGCCAAAGTGGAATTCACCAAAATGGATGTTGACAGGTCCCAAAGTTTCTGGGAGAAACTAATCCTTAAGACTGATTGGATAAAACTGGGGCTCTTTGGTCAGTCACATCAGCTCCTGTTTACAGAAGGAAAATGAAGCTTTAAAAGAAACCCCATACCTACTGTGAATCATGGAGGGAGCTCTGTTTTGTTTTGGGGCTGCTTTGCTGCATCTGGCATGGGAACCTTGAATCTGTGCAGGGCAAGACTACCAAGGCATCCTGGAGTGTACCATACTGCCCAGTGTCAGAAAGCTTTGCACACCCTGCATCACTTCCCCATTGTTCTATCTGTTGTGTTGCTCTAATAAACTACACCTCTTACTTGTTTAATCTTTCCTCTTGTTACAGCCCTTGTGTGGATCACCCCAGGTGCTTCTCATCTGCTCCCTCATTATTGATGTGTATAGTGCCTTTCTCTCTTGAGCTCCCCAGTCCAGTCATTAATGTTGCTGTCTGTGTTCGTTTCCTGGTTTGCCCTGTGTCCTGTACTCTTGTCTGATCCTCCCTACCCTGTTTTGACCACCGTGGTCCATTTCCTTTTGCCCTATCTGTAGTTTGTATTTAATAAAGCCCCTTTTGGTTTACCCCATGCCTGCCTTTGCTTCTGTCCTTGCCTGTGATTGACAAAGCTCAGTCACAGGTCATGGCTTCTCCAACAGGATAATTACCCAAAATATACAGCTAAGGGCACTCAATGGCTCAAACATTGGACTATTCTTAAATGGCCCTCCATGAGCCCAGATCTTGATCCTATTGAACATCTAGAGAGTTCTGAAAACTTCAGTCTGGTGATGCCACCCTTCAAACCTGAGACAGCTTCAGCAGTTTGCTCAGGAAGAGTGGGCCAGACTACCTGTTGGCATGTGCAGACATATCATTCTGAAGTACAGAGATCACTTGTTGGCAGTGATTGCTACAAAAGGTGGTGTCACAATTATTAAATTAAGGATACTGTGATGACTGTGAGCGGAGAAGCAGGCGAGAGCAGTGAATAGGATGAAATGGGGTTTTATTTAAGGCAGACAGCACACATGGGAGCACACAGCAAAGCCACGTTAATGACAGACCTGGGGAAAACTGACGCGGACTAAATACACAGGACATGCTGAAAATAACAGGCAACAGGTGATCACAATCAAGAATTAACACAGGGAAATGAGGGGGGCATGGCACACAGGAGGATCGGACGAGCAGGTCATGACATACCATTTTTTTTAATGTAAAATTCAACTGAATCAGTAATCAAAAGCAATATAGAGTATATAATATGGAATAAACAAGGGATGCCATTAAACTTTTGTCAGTTTCAAGTTATTCCAAACATAGTTTGAACCAACAAATTTGTCCACGCCTGAATGTGAATTTTGTCGGTGCATGATAAAAGTAGGCCTTTGTTAAATTAATCAGCCTGGTAATAGACAGGCGCCCCCTGTACACATAGTCCTGTCTTAAGCCCAGAATTTGCTGTTGTATCTTGGCCAAGAGAAATGGTTTGAAAAGTAAAAATAAACAAATGATAAAAACTGAAATAAGTGCAGTCACATTTTAATGTCACTTACCTGGTCTTATCAAATTCCATACAGAGAAAGCACCAGTAACCAGGACTACAGGTGTGACAGTAATGCACAGCACCAGAATCAACCAGTGTAAGGATGAATAACCTAAAAAAATAAGAATTACATTCAGTTTACATTACGAGTACATTCAACAGGTCCAACCCTCCAGTTAGTATAAAATAATTAATATGAAACTTTACGTTTAATGAAAAATGCATGTAACATAAAACTGCTGTTGCTTTTGTAGCTTGCCTGAAAAGTTGTAGCAGAATTATCACTTACCTACTCCCTGTATTACTACCTGTGTTTCATTTTGCTCTTGCTCTGTGTAAGCCACACACTTGTACACTCCTGCATCTGCAGTCCTCACACCCTCAAGCAGCAGAGAGAAGTTGCCTTTGTGGATTTCCTGAGAGAAGAAGTGGGCTCTGTCCTTGTAGGCGTCCCCCTGTGATTCAGGTCTGCTCTGACCCCCCTGCAATAGGTGCACGATGGTGTCTGAATCAGTCCTTCTCCACTCCACCTCCAGCTCCTCCAAAGGCAGGGGTCTGTCCACAAAGCAGGGAAGCAGTACAGCTCCTCTCAACTGCGCTGTTAGAGGATCAGCCGAGCCGTGTAGCAGGAAACCTACCACAGCAACAAAATACATAAAATTCACACGATTCGTGACTAGTAATCAAGAAACAAATAATACATTATAAATTACTTATCTGGTAAGCATATATTTAAACGTTAATCAGTACACAAAAATAGAATCCTCGTCGTAAAACATAATCGTTAATCTTAAACATTATTTTGCGAACAGCATATGAATAGAGAAGATAGGAGTTATCAGGTACTTCGCTACATACCATCAGTGCCAATGACGAACCCGAACAGGATCAAATTCACGCTGAGATTTATTATCTTCATTTCCTCCATTACTATACGACGGGAATTGTTTAGGCTACTTAATACTTTAAATATATAGGCCTATACGTTTGACTTAATGTAATTGTATCTTTATAGAGAATGTTGTCTTTCCGTCCATACTTTTGGCTTCAGTTCTGGTCGTACTTTGAACTGTAACCCAAATGGAAAGGAAACGAAATGAAGGAAATGAATAAGAAAAAAAGTTGCCAAACCAGCCGCTGCAAGTCTACATCTGGACGCAGGTACTACTATAAATAATCACCGCTGATTAAGATAACACCACCATCACGAAAAAAATAAATAAAAATAAAGGTGACATTTGTGCGATTGGTTTTCTATCGCTCATTTGCACGTCACGTCAGTTATAACATTTCACCGTGTGGATCAGTTAACCTGCTTGGAGTGGGCACCTTTATTATGCGAGCTATAGCAAGGTACTGTACCATACAAGTACGAGGTCGGGAGGGGGCGGCCGTGGGTTGGCCTCAGATCGCCCCACTGGAAGCCCGAAGTAGCGAGAATGTGGGAATCTATAAAAGAGCGCACCTCTACCTTTGCACAGTACTGATGCAATTAGGAAAATCAGTCACACTAAAAATGCTACAAAATAAACCACAAGTCATTCATAATGTTGCAAAAATGTAGTTTCACAGACATATTGTTAGATTTTTTTTAGATTTTTGTGAAATCGTTATGAATAACATAAAATCAAGGTGGATTTGTTCAGTTTTGACTCTTGACTGATTGTGTTGGGGGATAGGTAATGGCTCGAGTGGCAAATTTTTCGAGTGGAAAAAAGGAAAGAGAGGAGAAATACGTGAAAGAAAGGTATTCAGCTCTGTCATCTCTTTGTGAGTATAATAGGTCTATTATGCATGCAACGAAACAAGCTAGTATAAAACGTAATATAACATGTTCGTTAGCCAATAGTTTCGGGGGGAGAAGGGGGTGGGAGACACACAATTTTTGTTGATGGGGGCAGGGGGTGAGCGCTGAACCCCAGGGTGCCATACAAGGTAGAACCACCACTGCCAGTAACTAACTACTGTATGCATAATTATAATATTAATTATGCTATAATTATCAAAATAAACTTGGGTCCTCTTCCAGGCAGGTTTGTAACAGTTCCAGTTGTTGTCCAATTTGTTTATTATTTCCCTAACAGTATAAATGGCCATTTTCAGGCGAGTAGCTATTTTTCATACCCATTCCCTGACTTATGAAGGTCAGCACACTTCTCCCTCATTTGGTTTGTATGTTCTCTTATCTTTCCTATGTTGATGGATAACTAAGGGAATTTGGCCTCTGTGTCACCTCATATGTGTACCCCTGTTAACCAGGAAGTCATGGATTACAACTAGAACGTTCCAATCAGCTAAAAAATGTACAATTTACAAGGGAAAGATGCTTCAGTCACATAGTGTTCACTATAATTTCCAGGGGTGCCAATAATCGTGGCACATGTGTTTTTGCTGAAAATAATTGTTTCTTGATGAAGGATTTGATTTTATTTGAATAAATTTATTTCAATGAAAGTTTGGATTTTTCTCTTTTTTTTCAAAGTGAGATTGTGATGTGCAGCGAGAATGGAGGAGGCAGACCCCAGAATGTGGAGGGAGACAGGTTTATTGAATAAACCGGGTGCAGACAAAACCAAGGGGGCAATCCAGAGACGTTGTCAGGTCACAGGCGGAGGTCGGTTACCGGGGAGATCAGTACTACACCGAGAGACAGGACTAGGTGACGACGGGAAGGGAGGAACAGGGCCAACGAGGAAACGGGGCAGGCAAGATAGGTGGGCAGGAGACAGCAGGCAAGATGAACCGTGAGAACAAAAGACAAAGAGAATGCTTAGCAAGGCTCATTTGGGAGTGGCAACAATACTTCACGATGAAGATCAGCTATGCTGATCTTAAATAATGAGCTGGTGATCGCCTGCCGGTGCTTGGTCCAGGATGAAGCTACTTCACCAACAGGTGGATTTTTACAAATCTTTACTTAGGGGTGCCAGGGTGCCAATGATTGTGGAGGGCACAGTGTATACTGTATTATACTTACTGTACCTAAATAAAGTTTCCAAACTCAGAGCCAGTGCAACCTGTATAAAATATTACAAAACGAAACATTACCAAATTCATATTATATTTCCGAAACTATTTATTGCCCTGCGTTGGGTTGATGCCCCATCCGGGTTTATTTCCTGCTTTGAACTCGTAGCCTCCGGGATAGACTCCAGGCCCCCACTACCCTGAATAGGAAACACAGTTTCTGAAAATGATCAAAATAATAAAATAATTTAAGACAAAATCTTTCTATGAAAGGATAAAAGATTTACCCATATACATGGAAACAAAGAGGAACTGTCAAGCAGAGCTACTCAATGACCAGTTGATTCCTGTTTGTCGATCTCTTACCCTTGTTTGCTTATACAACCTTATCATTTGCTTCATCTAATCGTAATCATAGCTCACATACTTCACATACCTCATAGGCAGTAGTGCAGCTCTTGTTACCATTGACTGCTTGGGGCCTGGCCTGCTGATGATGCGTGCAGAAAGCCTGTCCGCATTGGTCTGCACAGTTTGGGATGTGCAGTTTTTCCTGAGAGTGTGTTCTTGTTAATAAAGTTAAATTTTCCTTAATTCTATTGTCATGACAGAAGACTGAGCAACAAAAATGGACTCAGTCGAATTTTGAATTTTTAGAAATGACTACCTAAACAGTCCTACATGGTCTTTTACAGCAGGTCTCAGAATCTGCCTCCTGACTTGTCAATAGACTGCAGAGTTGCAGAAAAACTACCAGCACAACTTTAGTAGAAACTATGGTGATAATATTAATTTACCTGCTGTAACTTCCATGATGGGGATCTATGTGGGATGATTCATCTAGCCTCTAAAAGGAGTAAAGCAGGGTCCTAGGTATTTTAGCCTATTCATCACTGAATGAATAACCCTGTTATTTCCTCTTTCTAACTATATGCAGATTAACCTGTTATTCTCGTTTCCATGCCTGTAAACCCTAAACTCCTAAACTTCTGGATGTGTATTCCATATATACACTCACCTAAAGGATTATTAGGAACACATGTTCAATTTCTCATTAATGCAATTATCTAATCAACCAATCACATGGCAGTTGCTTCAATGCATTTAGGGGTGTGGTCCTGGTCA